ATCTCTTTTACTGTCACTTCTCACTCTCTATCTCTTACTCACTTCTCTACCTCTCTGTTTTCACTGTCACTTCTCTCTGTCGCTTCCTTTTACTGTCACTTCTCTCTCTCGCTTCCTTTTACTGTCACTTCTCTCTCTCTCTCGTCTCTCCTCTCTCTACCTCTCTCTCTCCTTTTACTGTCACTTCTCTCTCTCGCTTCCTTTTACTGTCACTTCTCTCTCTCTTTTACTGTCACTTCTCACTCTCTCTTTTACTGTCACTTCTCTCTCTCTTTTACTGTCACTTCTCTCTCTCTCTCTCTTACTCACTTCTCTACCTCTCTGTTTTACTGTCACTTCTCTCTGTCACTCCCTTTTACTGTCACTTCTCTCTCTCTTTTACTGTCACTTCTCTCTCTCTTTTACTGTCACTTCTCTCTCTCTCTCTCTTACTCACTTCTCTACCTCTCTGTTTTACTGTCACTTCTCTCTCTCGCTCCCTTTTTCTGTCACTTCTCTCTCTCTCTCTCTTACTCACTTCGCTACCTCTCTGTTTTACTGTCACTTCTCTTTCTTTTACTGTCACTTCTTTCTCTCTCTCTCTTTCACTGCCACTTCTCTACTTCTCTCTCTCTTTTACAGTGACTTCTCTCTCTCTCACTCTCTCTCTTTTACTGACACTTCTCTACCTCTCTCTCTCTCTTACTGTCACTTCTCTCTCTCACTCTCTCTCTTTTACTGTCACTTCTCTCTCTCTCACTTGCTTTTACTGTCACTTCTCTCTCTCTTTTACTGTCACTTCTCTCTCTCACTTCCTTTTACTATCACTTCTCTCTCTTTTACTGTCACTTCTCTCTCTCTCACTTCCTTTTACTGTCACTTCTCTCTCTCGCTTCCTTTTACTGTCACTTCTCTCTCTTTTACTGTCACTTCTCACTCTCTCTCTTTTACTGTCACTTCTCTCTCTCGCTTCCTTTTACTGTCACTTCTCTCTCTCTTTTACTCACTTCTCTCTCTCTTTTACTGTCACTTCTCTACCTCTCTCTCTCTTTTACTGTCACCTCTCTCTCTCTCTCTTCTCTGCCTACCTCTCTCATTCAAACACACCTTCATAAACACCGTCTGTAAGTGTTTCAGCGTCGATGTCTGTGTTCAGCCGTGGAATCGCCCCCACGTTGACCTCTCTACGACCTCTCATATGCTCTCCTGCTTCAGTAAATCATCACTGCATTCATAAATCATAACTAGAGAAACTTCAGACACTAAATATGTCTTAACTCATCAGTTTGGCGTCAGAGGGAAATTTAGATTTGCTGTTGAACTGTCGCTTTAAAAAGAGTCTGGTATTTAGCGTGTGGTGGGAATGTGCTTTAAAACTGAACTGCACTTGAGTCAAAAAGACTCTTTCATAGACTTCTGTCCTCAGAGGAGTGAGGTGTGTGTGTGTGTGTGTGTGTGTGTGTGTGTGTGTGTGTGTGTCGTCTGGGGGAGGGGCTTATTATCACTGGTTTGCTTTCAGTACCCCTCCTGTCACTGGGGCAGTACCCCTCCTGTCACTGGGGCAGTACACCTCCTGTCACTGAGACAGTACCCCTTCTGTCACTGCGGGCAGTACCCCTCCTGTCACTGGGGCAGTACCCCTGCTGGCACTGGGACAGTACCCCTCCTGTCACTGGGGCAGTTCCCCTCCTGTCACTGGAGCAGTTCCCCTCCTGTCACTGGAGCAGTTCCCCTCCTGTCACTGGGGCAGTTCCCCTCCTGTCACTCAGACAGTACCACTCCGGTCACTGGGGCAGTACCCCTGCTGGCACTGGGACAGTACCACTCCTGTCACTGGGACAGTACCCCTGCTGGCACTGGGACAGTACCCCTCCTGTCACTGGGGCAGTTCCCCTCCTGTCACTGGGACAGTACCCCTCCTGTCACTGGGGCAGTTCCCCTCCTGTCACTGAGACAGTACCCCTCCTGTCACTGGGGCAGTTCCCCTCCTGTCACTGGGGCAGTACCCCTGCTGCCACTGAGACAGTACCCCTCCTGTCACTGGGGCAGTACCCCTGCTGCCACTGGGACAGTACCCCTGCTGCCACTGGAACAGTACCCCTGCTGTCACTGGGACAGTATCCCTGCTGCCACTGGGACAGTACCCCTGCTGCCACTGGGACAGTACCCTGCTGCCACTGGAACAGTACCCCTGCTGTCACTGGGACAGTTCCCCTCCTGTCACTGAGACAGTACCCCTCCTGTCACTGAGACAGTTCCCCTCCTGTCACTGGGGCAGTACCCCTCCTGTCACTGGGGCAGTACCCCTCCTGTCACTGGGGCAGTACCCCTGCTGCCACTGGGACAGTACCCCTGCTGCCACTGGGACAGTACCCCTCCTGTCACTGGGACAGTACCCCTCCTGTCACTGGGACAGTACCCCTCTAGTCACTGGAGCAGTACCCCTCCTGTCACTGGGGCAGTTCCCCTCCTGTCACTGAGACAGTATGAGACTCTCTCCCCCTTCATCTCTCTCTCTTTTACTGCTCTCTCCCTCTGCCCACTCTCTGTATTCCCTCCTACTATCTCCCGTTCCCTCTCCCCCACCTCTCCCTCTCCCTCTCTCCTCTCCGCTTACTCTTCCTCTTTTTCTCTCTCTCTCTTGCCCTCTGTATATAGTTCTTTCTCTATTTCTCTCGGCTTCTCTCTCTCTCTCTCTTCTTTCTCTCCCTCTCTCCTCCCTCTCTTTTTCTCTGCTCTCTCTCTCCCGCCCTCTCTTCCCCTTCATTTCTCTCGTTCTCTTGTACTCCTCTCTCTCTCTCAGCCCTTCCATCTTTCTTTCTCTGTCTCCCCTCCTACTCTTTCCCGCCCTCTCTCTCTCTCTCTCTCTCTCTCTCTGTCATGGTGACAGGAGGCATGAGATCATTTTTTTTTTTGTTTGGAAAAATAAATTCTAAACAGACAGCTTCCAGCTGGAGTTTTTCCTCCGAACGAACACAGAGAATTAATGAGGTCTCTCACTCTCTCACTCACACACACACACACACACACACACACACACACACACACTTGTTTGGACAGGTCTGTGTGTTGCGTGTTTGATCTGCTCTCATTCCTCAGGTTCATCTAATGCATATTTGTGCTCACTCTATATTCTCTCAGCGCTCCTCCAGCCTTTCCTGGCGGAGGAGGTCCGGGTCAGAAAGGACGGCGCAGCGATCGCTGAGTTACCCTGTGACCCCACAGGACCACGTCAGCGTGGCTGTGCTGGAGTTTATATTCACAGCTGACCGACTCCAGAGAGAGTACAACACTCTCCGTATGGTAATGTTTAGAGCCTGTATGCAGAGAACATTCACGTTCTCCATGGTTTGTGACTCTGGGCTCGATGTGCTGAGCCTTTTGCACCAGTTTCAGGCACATCTGCCCGCCTGTTCTGCATGAAACTGCCGCACAAGTCTAAGTGTGTACTTTTCGGGCTGGGTGCATGATGAACGTGCTTCTCTTACTTATGCATATCCCTGCTGTCGAAACAAAACCTCATACTATTTTTGTTGTTTTTCAGTTTTTGACATAATCTGAAAATGCTTGTTGATCTTTACATTTTATGTGAACTTTCATGATGAATAGACCAACAGAAATGACCCAAAATGACTTGGAAAGACATCTGGTTCCATTGACTTACATTAAAAGTAGACTATATTTTTCCCTTCTCCTGTAAAGTTATCATTTCGGAGATAAGAGGTTTTGTTCCGACAGCAGCGTTATGCATTTGGGTTAGGAGAACTGTGCAAAAAGCGGGTGGGCAACATCAAACGTGTGGCTGATTACATATTCAGTTCAGTTTACCAAAGTTTGAGCAGCTTGCACCAGATAGTGGGCGGGGCTATGCACAGTTTTAAGTGACAAGCTGCAGTCTTAATAAAAAATGATGAATTTAGATGCATTGTTGGTGTGAAATGGTTCATTGCAGAGCTGGACAACACGGCAAAAATGTAATGTGACAATATTTTCAAGATACATAATGCACAATATAGCTTTCCGTCCACCAATTTTTTGCTAATTCTAAAAAAAAACACCCAAATATTGCAAAAAGAGTTTTACGCTAAGACGAGGTGGAAAAGTTGGAATATCGCTAAAGCTGAAATGCGAAACGATGATGTATCAAGCTGTAAGTGAGAAAGGATTGGCCCTACATATGGTCCGATCGTGGCGTGTAGCTTTCCGAAGGATGCTTTCGACATTCTGGAATGTCTAATCCAAAGCTTGTTTGGATCAAAAAATCAAAAAAACATAATCTAGTTTTGTATTCAAAATTTCACACTAAATCCAATTAAACAAGACAAATTATTGGTGATAGGAACCAGGGGTCGCCATGACTACAACACAAATATAGACATTTTATTTACTATCCAGAACCACCAGTGAACCTACACCAGTCTTCTGAGTTTATATGGAATGTTGATGATGGAAAATAGTGGAAAATCTGATTTTTCTCTGGGGACTGTTTTGCCCCACTATTTCATGTAGTAACTTTCTGTGAGGGAGCTCTTAGAGGTGGACGTCTGGTTCCTATCACCACCACTGTGAACAGTTCTGACTCTAGTTTCTCTAGAAGAGAGCGTTTTACACCAAACCACTCTGAGCAACTCTGTTTATCATCTTAACCATTTAATTATGTGGAAATTTCCGTGAAATCATATTTGTCCATCTAAATGGACAATGGACCTACATATTGTCTGTGTTTAACAGTGTTTGGCGTGATGTGGTGCAAAGTAACACATTACTTTTCCTGTAATGAAGTGGCGTAATGCATTACAGTTTAATATATACTACTCACATAAGAAAAATTATGTACGTTAGTTACTTGTGTTGTAAAGTGCAATGTTTCTAAAGCATAAATTTCATCTATATAGATTATCTGTGCCAGTCCTTGTATATAATTTGCTACTGCTACCTGCGTTAGCCGACTGTACAATTCTGACGATGAATCTGAGTATTAGCGCTTCACGCTGTAAGCTCTGTATGGAGAGAGCACTCACGTAGTCTTCCGCGTTGGGGTCCTGGTTCTGGGGCTGCTCTGGCGCGGGAACCTCACAGTCTGGGCTATAATGTTCACAGTAGTCAAACGCAGCACGGTGGTCTGCTACAATCATCAGCTGCTGAATATCCCCCTGAAAAACACACAGCACAAAACCACAGTTAGACAGACAGACAGACAGATACATAGACAGACATATAGTCAGACAGACAGACAGGCAGGCAGAAGGATGAATGACTAGATTGATGGGCAGACAGACAGACAGACAGGTAGATAGACAGGTAGATAGATAGATAGATAGATAGATAGATAGATGAGGCAGATGGATAAACAGACAGACAGATACATAGATAGACATATAGATAGACAGACAGACAGACAGACAGACAGGTAGATAGACAGATAGATAGACAGACAGACAGACATAACTGCAGAGTTATAGTAGCAACATAAATGATTATTACAATAATATAATTGTATAAGCATTACTATGAAAACATAAAAAACGAAACAAATAAATAAAGAAATACATAAATAAAAAAACAATTAACACGACGTTAACAATCTAAAACCCGAGCCGTACTCAAATCCTGCGGTTTACTGGATGCTTTAGGCTGTAATCTAATCCAAAGCCTATTATTTGATCAATCCTGTTTGAAAAACAGAGCCAGACTGAAATGAAAGGAAACACTGAGGAGAAAACAGTGACTCACTGACTGACCACCCAAACAACACGCTTTCTGTGGAAAGTCAAAGGGCTGTTGATGTTGTGTGTTTAACACAACACTGATGGTCAGTGATTTTCCATGCAGGACAACAGATCCACCCATCACACACATCAGAGCGAAGTGCGAACTACACTCCCACCTACACGGCCACTTTATCTGAAACCCCTCTGCTGGAGTTTCACCTTGCTGGCATACAGTAGACACCATGGCTCATCTGCACAGGCTCATTCTTCAGCCCATCAGTGGTCAATTTCTGCCCACACAGCTGCTCTTGGCTGGATATTTTTGGGTGGCGGATCATTTTCTGTCTAGCATCTGGTCAAACGTGGTGTAGTCATAAACTGACCAATGATGAAGGCTTGTAAACTGCGCAGGAACAGATGGACTGCAGACTGTAGTGCGAGTGCCACGTACAGTTACGTTTCAGCAATATCCTTTTCCATTTGAACATATTACAAAGACAATATTTAGTAGCATTATGAATAAACAAGGGAACACAGTGTCATTGACACCAAGCATCACTCTTTTCCCTGTGGTCATTTCCATGACCTAAACCTTAGCCAAGTCCATGAGGTGCTTCACATCTAAAAACGAACAACATGGAAGGTTTAACGTTCACTCGAGCCACTAGAGGGTGCAATTATGACCAAATCTAGACAGCTGTTTTAAATACTTAACTAGCCGCAAGGCGAACAAAGGCTAATTTCAACCTTATGGTCAAGCATAATCCTGACACTCTGCATGTTTTCCTAAAGCTCCAGTTGACTTTCTTTTCCAAACCTCAGTTAATTTTTTTGAATGTACCTTTAATTTGAAAATGGTTCTATATAGCACCAAAAAGTGTTGTGACGTCAAGTTTCTAACAATATCAGAACCCTTTTCAAAAAAGGTCCCATACAGAACCAAATACAACACATTCTCAAATAGTCTCAAGAACCACTCCACCATGCACAGAACCATTTAAAGGTGCAGTGTGTAAGATTTAGCGGCATCTACTGAGAGGTTGCAAACTACACCCCTCTCTCTCAACATAGAACCTACGATGGCCATGAGGTTCTCGGCTGTCGCCTGTCCCGATTTTGTTTCACTTCATTTTTTCAATTATTTGACGGCGAGGATTCGCCCTCCCTCGCTTCTTTTTGTGCTAAAAAATAATATAATCCTCCATTTGTCAAAATTTGGGTTCTCAAACTTCTCACAACAGCCAGCACCAGCAGCAACCACTGATTGTTCTCCTTTCTACATCTTCCAACCGAGTTACAGCGCCACCAAAGTCAAGCTGCCACGTTGGTTTGTCTATTGTGACCTACTATAGAAACATGGCGATGCAACATGGCAGCCTCTGTTGGAAGAGGACCAGCTCCCTATGTAGATATGAAGGGCTCATCCTAAGCTAACGACAATACAATTGAGCCGTAGTTACAGGTGATTGTACACTAATGAAACCAATGTTTTGTACGCAACATGCCATTTCTACTAATAGACCTCCCTAAATTTTACACACTGCACCTTTAACCCCTCAAAATTCCAGGATTATTACACACTAAGGCTTATTATTCAGTAACTACAGGAACTATCTGCGCTATTCTTAAGTTATAAAAGTGTGTAATAAACTTTGGGCCCACTGGTAGGCCCTGGCCATTTAAGGGTTAAGCATGAGATGGTTCTATATAGAACTCATGGCTCACAGAACCATCTTTTTCAAGTAGGTAGGACACATTCTCTGACCAGACAGCTAAGCACTTTTGTAATGTCAGAAGTAAACAAACAAAC